CTCATTTGATTAAACGTCACCTGATTTCAGGTGATCTTCACAAATATCAGAGGATTCTGGCTAAGAAGAATCTCTTAACTGTAAAACTCACTTCCCATATTCTGAAAAACACACTCTTCAGACATTACAAGGCCTTCCAACTTGCTTATATCTGAAACTATTTCGACTTTTTAAAAGCGGTAAGGCCAAGACAACGTCCAAGACACAAATATTAATATTAATTCATACAGACAGTAACATTACATAAACTCTTGGAAAAAATTTCTCGTTAGTAAAAGTCAACCGTCAAGAGCTCGAACCGTCAACTGTCGAAATTGGAAAAAAATTATCCGTCAACCGACAAAGCTACCACCCCATCGAGATCCTCAAATAACAGAGAAGTTCTTACAGGTTTTGTTTGATTGTCGCCAAGTATCATGTTTTTTGAAGAAAGCGTACGTGATCATCCTGGATTTTGACATTTTTGTACTGTGCCTTAATAAAATTAATATTCTCCGCCACATAGCTTTTAGATCTAACCGCTTAGAGCAATTTAAAAACACATGGGCCAAACGTCTTTAACTAGGTGAATGGTAGTGTACCTCTTTGATACATATTCCTTTAAGCTACACTGTACTGTTTCACTTTTTAGATTAGCGTCTTCTTCTTTTAGTTTCTTTCCTGTTTTTTTTTTTTCATTTCCGCTACTCAGTTTTTAAATTCATTCTTATTTGTCAGCGGGCCATTGTGACAATAGAGAATAGTTTCATTGCACATGAATCAATAACATTTGCGAGCAAATAATCGTTATATTTATTTGGAAAATCGATGGAAAAGGTAACATATGTTTAGAAAATCAAGCTTCCTTCGACAGTGATTTATACACTCCGTATCATTTCTCACCTCTACTAATGATCGAATTCAGAAGTATTCGTCGATGTCAGTGGCTTTACCTGGACAAATCCATCGGTGAATTCTCTATAGTATATAAAAAAGTAAATGCTCTGCTATGGTTTAGGGTTCTATAATCACGATTTCGGCTTGTAACTAGTTCAACTTCGCAAGGCTTGTTTAGATATTCTGGATGCGGTTCTCAATATCTGTTTCACGCGAGTATCTTGAGATATGCAAATCAGCCAAACCGGCTAAGAAATGGTATGAAATGCGCATGTGCAACTTCATATTTTGTTATTTTGGTACGTTTTGGAAGAGCATAGTTGCACCTTTCCCGGGGCACGTGTTAGTCACGTTTGTAGGGTACTATTAAAGTTCATGTCGAGCTTGAGGCTTCAGTTTGTTTCTCTCTGATCGACAAGGAAAGGTTGTAACGATCCCAAGCTAAGTATCAGTATTCAGTACGTAATCGAGAATGTCTGCCTCAAGCGAGGTGAGTATCACCTACAAGTTTCATTTTATACAAAAGTGGATGAGCTCATTCTCATTCTCTCTTTTACACAGCAAGTGCATCGACCCATAGGAAGGCCCATAGGAAGGCCTGATACTCAGGCTAACAAAACAATGGATTATAACCAAATTTACTCACGGCAAATATAATGTGTAAAATTGTGAAAACTGACTGGAAAAGATGATAAATTTTACATTTACACACCAATTTACAAGGAAGTTGTAAATCGGAAAGAGAGACATTTAATATTCGTATAAAAGTGGCCCATTCAGACGCCTTTCAGAGGCTTATTTTGCTGAAATGCACTGCTGTTAATTGGTGCCCTGATAAAAATTCAAACAATAAAACTAATAAGACGACAATTGCGCTTTTCATTTTACCATCTTTGCCCCGTTTACTTCACGTTTTGCACATTTCATGACATTTTTGCGACATGTTTGTCAGCCAGGGACGGTCAAAGATGATCTTTTGTTGCTTTAAACACAGTTTTTAGCTTTTATAAACATAAGAAAGTCCTTTCACCGTGGCATCTACCTTAGTACCTGAAATTTTGGCGACACGCTTTTAAGCGATTTTGGAACACTTTTGAGTCACATGAGTCACATGACTCACCTAATTCTCGCGATTTCACGAACTGAAACTTTGGCGAATTAAGGTATTCACAACTTTTACGACGACAATTTAACATTTATGTGATAAGATCATAAACGTCAATAGCTTCATTTAAATCAAAATCACACAACGTTCTAAAACTTAATTTTAAACGAGACAGGCCAAACTGCAACTGTAATAAAATATCTTAATGCTGTCCTCACTCATATTTTTAGGTACATTGTCACAAAAAGTCAATGATACACATTATAATCGACCGTCAAATAGCATATGTGTGTGAAACTGACCAAATGGCGGAATTTCATACTATACTCACTTTAATTTTTAACAGTGATGATTTAAATTTAGCGACACTTAGTTCTGGTGCATTTTTAATTTAGCTATTTCTAGAATAAACGCCAAATTCACTAATTTTTTAGTGTCGCCAAAATTTCGTGTAATAAGGTAACTATTAGCTTTCATCTTTTCTTTAGTTTCTGCAACAAGAAGTGACCCAGAAACGCCTGGCAAATAACCTTTACAAAGAGACTCATAAAGGTGAGGCAATCAATTCACTGTCTACTGAAACTTAAACTTAAAAAGGGAGAAATACAATCTCATACGCTAATATTTTCTAATCGTTTTGTTAAATCGTTTTCTGAGCCCTAAAACCGACCAGGGACCGTAGGGTTAGCTCGCGCGCAAGCGGTGAACGGAACCCTCAAGTTTGTATACGGAACAATGAAACAATCTTGTTCACCTTTTCTGACATTGTTCAAAAGTTAAAACGTTGCGGGAAAATTTGACTAATAAGCTTGTTGATTGTGACTTTTATACCTCGAGACAACTCAAAAGATATAGCAATTTTTTGAGTTTGAAGCCCTATGGTTCTAAATTTGTTCTTCAGGCACTACTTTGTTTTCTGCTAGACACTATATATGGGGTCGTAAAACCAATAACAAGACCCCTCAGCTAAAAACGTTTTTGAAGATTCTTGCGTTCCAATATGAAATTGAATCCTACAAACAAGTCTCTGTGTCGAAGAAATGGTATCCTTTGGTCCCTCTCCTCAACAGTAATTGTTAGCTAGAAAATTAGTATTCGTTCCCAAATGATGTACATGCTTTAGAGAGGGCGTCGTTTATTCAAACATGAATCAGTACAGTCATTTCTCTCTTAACGGACACCTCTATAAGACGGACACTTGGCTAAAAACGGACTCCTAGAGTTGGTCCCCGTACTTTTTTACTCCCTTTTCAGGGGCGTAACCAGCCCATAGACCTGTAGGCCCGGGGCTACAAAATTTTGGTTTGATCACTCTACCGCTTGTAATAAACTATGCGTTGTTGGGGTGAGCTAAAACGCTTTAAGAGACAAGGTGTTGGTGAGATCAGTGCGTACTAGTCCTGCATGCAATTTTCAGGATATGTAGAAAAAGGAAAGTCAGACAGGCCTAGCTACAAATACTCAAAAAGCTGGCTACGCCCATGCTTTTAGTCCGGACTCTCTATAAAAGTGACATCTCTCTAAGACGGACAAATAGTGTCGGTCGCAAAGGCCCCAAGAGAGAGTCAACTGTAGCACTGTATTAGTTTCCTCATTGTAATGCTTGCTACTGAAGTCACTTAGTCAATAGGCTTTTAAAGGAATTGTGTTCAACACTTTGTTCTTAAGATTATTCTATTCTATTCTTCTTATTATTGTTTTCCACCTTTTACTTATTCACCTTTCTTTTTTCTTTTTTTTTTCTTTTAGTATTGTGTACTGTAGTGTATTTTATTCAGTGCCGGATCCAGACCTTGAGATGGGGGGGGGTTCATCCAGACCCTTAGACAAGAGGGGGGATCCGGTCGTCAAAAAAAAATTTTTTTCGGCCCTTCGGGCCTTAGTTTGGTGTAAAAATAAAGGGGGGAAGCCTTCCGGGCCCCTCCTCTAGATCCTCCTGTTATTAGTGCAGGGGCCCCTGAATTAGTGTCATCAGTTTACCACTAAACTGTTGTTAATAAACATGTTGTACTGTTTGTGGAGTTATTAATAAAGTTATTAAAAAACAATGAAATAGAATCAAAATTGTCACATCGGCATCTACAAAACAAAGCAGTGGGTTTCTACGTTTAAATGCATGTGTGCAGTAAACGTTCAAATTAATTACGTCTTTTTCAAAGTTGAAATTTATAAGTATTGCATAAAGACAAGTTTTTTTAACTGTTTTTTTTTATTACTGTTTTCAAGGTTCTATGTCCAGAGAGTCTGAGGCGCAGAATATTTTTCCTGCTGCTTTTTCCTTGATGGAACACACCCCAGAATCACCCAATCTACAGGATCCTCGAGGTCCTGGCGCATTCACATATTATGAAAGAGGCATGTAAATATTTTCCTTCGTCATATGTGTACCTGGACTGGGGCATGCTCCCTATAAAGTTTAAGTTAAGAAAGAGAAATAAAATTTCGTCGTTGGTTGTTTGCGTTCTCCATAAAATGGGAATTTAATCATTTTCACGTAGTAGTTAAAACTACCTTATGAAGTGACTATCGTGAAACAAGCCTAATTTAGCACAAATATTTGACACTTTTATTTTTCAAGAAAACACAAGCTTATTTCGCAGCCTAAAACAGGAGCCCAAAGCCTTGGAGCGAGCAACTCCCATACTATCAGGGCCTATGACACCGCATTTTCACGGACCGGTATATTTTTAGCCTTCGAATGCATCCGTTTCTCCTTCGCTCTTCGCCGCTGGGGACATGCTTTCGCAGGCTAGTATATTTTTTAATACATTTTGGAGCACTTTTTCGCGAAAATGGAAGCTCAAGCTCCGTCTATAGGCGCATTTGAAGTATAAGAAAGGAAAAAGGAAAAGTTAACGTTCAAAAATGCAGGTCTCAGGTCTGTAGATTGGTTTGTAGGGTTTAGAATATGTTCTAAATTTGAGCCAAAATCATTCTAAAAATAGACTGGTCGGTAAAAACGCCGTGACAGGAATATATGGAAGTTGCCCTCTCCGGGGTTATGGTCCCCTGGATATGATTATCGAGATCGTCTTAGCAGTCTCCGTCCCCGCGCCTCAAGCAGTTTACGTGCTTCAGGGTATTCCGTCAATGCTTCAAGTAGATCTTCTTTAGAAAGGCACAGTAATTCCGAATACCCTTCCGAGCGCACATTTGCAGTTCGGCGATTACCAGTGTCGGATAAATTCAGGATACTGATCTCGCCAAAATAACTACCTTCGTAAAGAGTGGCAATGACTGCTTCAGTATCTTCCTGTATGACTTGCAGTCGACCGCTTCTCACCAAGTACATCTCTCTTCCCGGTTCTCCCTTCTTACAGATGTAATCCCCGGGAGAGTAAACCTGTGAGCGAAGTTTCAAAACGATTTCTTTTAGCAGTCCCGGTTCGACGTCAGCAAAAACTTTCACTTGTTTCAAGGTCGCTAAGTGCACTTGTACTGCTATCTCCGTTTTAAGCGTTTTAGGGAGTTTGCAGAGCACAGAATCGCGATCAAGGGACGACTTTTTAGTCTCCCACATGTAATCAAACCACGCAACGACTCGTTTTTGCAAATCGTCTCCTACCCCGTGAAAAATCATGTACTGTTTGACCGCTTCGGCTTGCCCAAGGAATTCCCTTCGAACAAGGAGCATGTGCGTTATCATACTCCCGAACTGGCCAACAATGGCGGCGAAAACTAAAAACCCTACAGTGAGATCGGTGGTTACAAAAAAGAGCTCCAAGTTTGTCTGCGGTGGATTTTCTGTCTCTCCTGTTGTGAGCATTCTAGAAGACCAGTACAAGCTAAAAAGGTACTGCCTCGTTAAGGAGTCGAAGCCTGGTGATGTAAGCTTTGGGTAGACCCAAGTATCCGAGCCAAAGCCAATCCATTTTGAAAGCAAGAAATAAAAACATGCGTTCCAGTGAAAAATAAGCAACACCATGGCTACCAAGAAGCACAAGCGGAGGAAATTCGGGAAACGAGAGTGTGTCTCTGTGGTGCTTCTGAGTTCGAGCAGGCGATGCAAGCGGAGAAGGCGTGGCAACCTCAATATAACTTTATTTAGACCCCAAGCGAAGTAGAAGAGATCCAAAGGTACTATGGATAGGCAGTCTATCTTAAAAGCTAATTTGGAGATATAGTTTCGACGGAGCTTCTTGGAATCCTTCACTAAAGTGCCTTGGTCCATGTAACCTAGTGATTAACAATGCCAATGTGATGATAACGAAAACAAAGTTTGGTTTTAAATTTACAATTAATTAAGATACGGACTCAGTGCCCAGGTAATGCCAATCCTATAGCAACTCACGTCATACGAATTATAACTGAGTACCTTATAGCATTTTCTTCCAAATTCTTTGTACGCTTTTGCCCATTTTCTCGAGGGAAAATCGTCTCCAAAGAATTAAGACAAATTCGCGCTCCGAGATGCAAAAAATTGCAGTAATGTTCCAAATCATGCGCAACCGTATTGGTAACTAGGGAAGGAAGGTAGGTGGATGCCTTCCCTGGACCTCCAAACGTTTTCTGAGGGTAACCATAGCATAAACTATACAGCAAACTAAGCACAAACTTCTCATTAACCGAGAGTGAGGTCATTACTGGGAAATCTCAGACAGAGTTGATGTATTGACCGAGCGATAGTGAGGTCAATAAATCAAAGCGAGGTCTCAGATTTTCCTGTAATGACCGAACGGACGAGGTTAATAAGTTATTTATTATATGCCCTTTCACTTTGGACCTGACCTGGTCAGCGGATATCTTTAATAAACACGTCACCTCAATGAGTTGAACACGTCAGCCCGTGATGTAGTCAGGTGACACTGGTCAGCGGATACCTTTTTTAACAGATTGTATATGTCTTGAACACCTAGCTAGTATTTCCCGGTGATTACAAGAAAACAGCCAATCAGTGAGAGCGCGCGTACTATTGTAGCCATATAATAAAGTCTGGTAAAATCTGGTAAGTGGGGTATTATGCCGGACCGTAAAAGGTAGCAAAAAGTTTCAAAGTTTTCGTTTTTTTGTCCTTCACCCATCCCCATAAAATAATAATAATATTAATATTTATATTATAATAATAGCAAAATAAGGCAGTACAAAAGGCAGGAAAAAGATAAATTATCAGACTATTCAATTTTCTATGTCAAACATGAAAATAATTTGCTTATTCACTAAAAAATCCAGGAAAGCGGTCCCTTGTAGATTTCTTCACGGCAACAAAAATTTCTTCTAATTACACATACAGTATGGTTAGGGCATAAACAACACAATCTGAAGATAAAAATAAGCTAAAATTTGGACCTTGATATTTGAGGGAATGAAGGATTAAGAAAGCACTTTCTAAAGACTGAATTATACTTCTTCGCTTCATTTGCGAAACGATTAAAATGTAATTACACTTAATTGAAATCATAATAATTTAGATGCCTGGCGCCAAGGACATGTTAATTGGTGGACCTTTTAATAGTTCATCATCTTAGATTGGCGCCAGATTGTCTAAACCATTGTACAATTTATTAAAGAAAATAACTGCGATATTGTGGGCCGGAAAATAGGCCATGATTTAATTTTACATTACGAGGAATAAAAAAAATTATACCTTGATAAACCGCCATGGTAACTCATTGTTTCTGGTTTAGTTTTGTCCGCTGTTGTCTTGGTGTTATTCTAGTTTTTTGGAACAAAAGACCTTATCAGGTATCGCGGTCCAATTGACTGCTAATCCGATTTGCACCCGATACTGAGCGTGTTAATCAGTCTAAGTGCATGATGCATTACTCTTTAAGTGATTTGCAACGCATGTTTGTTCACGTAACTTGAAATGAAAATGCTGTAAAATCGCACCATTCTATATTCGAAGCGAATTATGCGACACAAGTAAACTATAGTAGATATAAATTCGTAAAAATTGCATTCTGTACATGTAGGGTAAAATATTCATGCGATGGCGATTTTGCAGATAGCAAAGCAGAGCACACTTTGCCCTCACATTTTCTTGCTCTGATTTACTGTGTGTATATGAAATTTCGTTTTTGTTTCGTTCACACGTGAATATATAATTTTCTGTATTTGATAATGTTAAAATGTCTGTTCTTTACCGACATCAAATTGCACGTAATGCTATTTGTAAAAAATTTAGACTTTGCTTTGTCCAAGTTGTACAACTTGTGCATATCACTTCATGAGTGTTCATCCAAGATTACACTTATACCAAAAATTGTATTGCGATAGTTTTTCTATCAAGGACTTAACTGAAGGACTGTACAGTGTCTTACAGTGTACACTACACAAAATTACATAGTTGTTATGTTTTGATAATGTGGATTTAATCTTAACTTTTTTGCTATGCAACTGCATTCCAGCATCTCTCTTTGACTCGAAGAATTATCTGTATTTTATAAAATGCAGCCGGTTTAAACAATGCTAATCAGGTCAAGAAGAAATTTGTTTCTGATAGAGCTTTTTATCGCAGATAGCAGTGTGTTCATGCAGTATACGCCTTTCACTCCAAAAGTGCAATAAAAACAAGCTCATTAGATTTCATTGGTAAAATACTAAAAATCGAATAGCTTCATGCAGTCTTATTTTCAATGAGGTATTAATTAATTTGGCTTCGAGATTTCGTGAAAGACTATTCGTTTTTCCAAGCTCTGTGATTGTGAAAGTAAAAAGGCCAAAAAAGACTTGTTTGAATTGCGAGAATGGCCAAACAGTTCAGTGGTAACACGATCGACGATGATGTAAGTTTGTCCGGTTAACAAATATCGTTTTGTTTGCATTGACTGTGAAAAATAGCTAGCTGGGACATTAATTACAGTACCACGATCATGACCATAGCACACAAATTAAATGGTACAGTGGCCAGGCACTCCAAATTAAATGTGCCAGTTTGACATTTTTTATACCATGCCTGCCCTGAGCATCACTGTTCCAGACGAAAAGGTTCTAGCCGAGTTTCAGATATTGCGCCAAAAAGAAATCCAGCATTTAGTCAATTTATTTCGAGAAGAAAGCATTAAGACTCTGCGAATTAGAATCTCTTAAGTGATCTCATTAGCTACGTACCTGTTTTAAACTGAATGAGCATGTCCAAGATGTATACCCCATCCGAAATGTAGTCCATAACAAACCAAAGCACCAACAACCCATTCTGCAGGTCTTCGAATGCACTCCGAGCAATAATAAACACCCAATTGTACACTACACACACGGAGACCACTAGGAGCCAGTAGCAATGGAAAGCATTCGAAGGGTCAACGACCCTAAAAGAGCTCGCAGAATCGTGCGAGTTATTATTGTGTTTATTTCCTGAAAAACGTGACGGTCCAGCCAGCTCCATCTTTTCAAGGAATGAGTCCACGCGTGGTGTGCGCTTGGCGCTGTTTTCGCGCGATTTATTGAGCCATGATTTTGCAAGCTGTAACGTGCGTGTGATGTTAGCAAGCGGTGCAGATGACGAGCCGTCATTGCTGCCACGGCCTGCTGATCCGTGTCTTACGGTTTCCATTTTTGCATGACTCTCGTCTTCAACGCCACCTTGGTCGGATCCAAGCATTTTTGGGACATTTAAATTGTCCTGTTTAAATTCTTCGTCATCATCATCATCACTACAATGATCTTTCTCGCCTTCTCCGCGTCCGTTGGAGTGAGTAGACACGGACTCCAGAAACGAGTTGTCGTCATTTGCCGGTGAGACAAGAACTTCGATCGGTTGTTCCATAACCTGTCAACTAGCTCACCAAATAAACAAACTGGAGCCGCCCAACGGATTTTTGATTTAATAAGGCGCTTAATCTGCCATTAATCACTTCATAAACACCTTAATCATCTCTCCACTCTCTTAACGTGGTGACTTAATAAAGCTCTCTCTTAGTGCTGAGGCTGTCATATATTGCTAAATTTAAGTAAACGGACAAATTTTTGTGGTGGCCGAGAAGACAATCATTCAGGGGCTTAATGTCCATTGTTTAGAACATAATAGATCTATCCCCGAGTGAGAATGAGTAGCTGTGTTGTTAAGCGGCTTGTCATTACACGGTGGTCTTTGAAAGGAATTAACAAACACTCAAGAGCTGAAACAATAACTGTGTCTCTGACGTTATTGTTTGAATTTCTTCGTCCATATCGTAAGAAGGTCAGGTTGGAATAGATTCCTTAAATTGTCAATAAATTACGAGATAACGGAGTAGCCTGGGCTGTTCTAGTTTTTACTCCGTGCCCCCGAACGTTAAAATGGTGCATTAGTATAACTCAAGATTTACTGTATAACTGAAAGGAAGGAGTAAGTAAAAAGATGTTTAACAAATATACAATGACTGTAAGAACTAACAAAGTATAAAGTAATTTATAAATGTACTGACAAGCGAGACGGCTTCTACATTTCGGAAGTAACCCTAACAACAAGTTCACCTCTGTTTCGTTACGCGTTATGTCGGTATTTTTCCTGTTTTCTCTGATTAAGTCTAAAGCAATTAAACTAATTTGAAGCTTTATTCTGTTCTCTAGAACAATTAAATTATCTCTGTCTGGGCAAAAATTACAGAGCTAGTACTGGTGGGCCGTTATTACAACGGTTTAATCTCATTTTCGCGGCTTCTCGACAAGAATAACTCTGCGTGGGTCAGTTATTAAAATGTACTTAATTGCCAATTTTAATTTCACATTGTTTGGATCTGTTTACTTCGGTATTATACCTGTCTTGTCAACTTAACAAAAACAAACGTCTATAACACGCACTCATAAGCTCCGAAGCCCGGGGGAGGGGGGTTATTCAATAAAGTTTTATACGGGTAGGCTCCGCCCCGAGGTTCAACCCCTTACCCTTTTTATATACTCTTTTTGACAAAAAAGGTACCCTTTTTGTATACCCTCTATTAGCAAAGGTACTCTTTTCACATACCTAGTTTAGAACTTCGCATCCCTTTCAACTGCTGTAGATACTGATTGTCTTTAAAATATGAATAATCACAAAACCTGAACGTTTTGTCGACCATTTTGAAGTCATAAAATGCATGTTAGCCCTCTTTGTCCTTTTAACGACCGAAATGAAAGATTACCCTACCTATACCTTTTCATATACGTTAACTAGTGAAATCCCTACCCTTTCATTTATATAGGCCATTACAGGGAGTACCCCCCCCTCCCCGGGCTCCGAAGTGCCTGAATACAGCTGCAGTTGTAGTCGGTTCATAGTTACTTATTTATCTAATCACCTAAGCAACCTCCATGCATTTTACCTATCATTGTTACTTTCCGCTGACTTTTCTGATGAAAATGATTCACTTTTTAGTTAACCTCGGCTCTTCTTTGAGAAACCTGGGAGTGAGTCCATTTCAAGAAAGGCCCTTACAATTTTTGGCCCTTAAAGCTGAGGTATGTGATACCAGGCGGAATGAAACGAGAGAAATGTCACGTCCAAAAAAAACATGCTTTAAATGTTCGAAGTTAAGATAATCACCAAGCAATTTGAAAAAGTAAGAAAGCAAGGCATTAACGTTATACCTTGTGAAATAAAATCGGAAAAGACTGAACCGATAGCTTTTTCCTTGTTCGCATCACACAGATTTATCCTTCGTGGTTTTTATTTATATAATTATCCGCACATTTTATATCGTTCCTTCTCCTCTTTTTCATATCATAATTTTCTTTCCCTCTTTCCCTTTTTTGGTTTCTTAATCTAATATTGAAAGTATTAGGAACTGTAAACTACTCCTTACTAATTGCCCGGCCCCAACTAGCCTTTTGGTTTACGCTCAGAGATTGCAAATTAAATTACAGTTAATGCTATAAAATCTAGTTAATATCCTTTTTCGATGAATGTTAGACAAGTAAGTTTGCAACTGTACTTCATTCCCCCTTAACCCTTACAAAGGTGAATAGCCAATAACAATAATATTTAAATATGTCTTTTATTAACAAACCCTGGGAGGTCAGGGCAATAACATTTGTGATCTTTCATTGTCTGAAGTAAATTAAAATTTCCCAGTGAAATTCAAATCTTGTTTCCACACTGAAAAAAATTTCTTTCATAGCCTCATAGATATTAATAGTAATTTAAATAAGCTAGGTGTCCTCCTTTAAAAGTGTAAGGGTATTGATTATTTCCTCTCAGCTGTTATTTGGTGGGCGGTCTGTCCACACTTTTGCACTTTTTCCAAAACCTTTTATTTCCAACTTCCGTGGGTACGTGGTTCGCACAAACATTGAAAGTTAAAAAGTTCAGCCACCGTCTTGAAATGTCCTTGAATCGCAATTGATTTCTTTGAATTTTGTACTATGTTTTGTACATTTGTAGATTTTACTCCAACTTTTAGAGAATTTATTTTTTAGAGAGCAGTATAGACCGACCAATTTCTCCTGAAAGTACAGGTGATTTGGGAGCTTATAAGTGACAACGGTGGAGACGGAAGGCAAAACGTCTTTTTTAGTGAATTCGTGCAATTACAAAATTCATCGCTATATATCATCTCGTTCAAATTGACGAATGTTAGCGACGGTTAAAATATAGAGGGCATTACAAGTTCAGAAAATCATTTTTTGAGTTCACGTTTTGCGTTTCAAGATGTAGTCGTACAAAGACGGCAAAGAAATCTATAGCCTGCGTAGCGGCCACCTGTTTTTTAACGGTCCGAAAGGAGAAACATCGAAGACGGGCACGCGGTGCACTCTATGATAATTGCTCTTTGGTTTGACTGGATACTTTTAGAAGCAATACCTGATAATGACAATTTTGAACATCAACCACGTCACCATTAACAAAGACATAGGAAACGATCACCACAGATACATCGGACATGCATGATGAAAAACGGTGTTGTCATAGTAACGTAATGACGTAATAACCTATTTATTTGCAGCGTGTTTTTCAGCGTGTAGGTTGATCTTGTTGTTGTTGGTTCTCTCCCTTGCTCCGAGGGGTTTATCTCCAGGCTCTCCGGTTTTCCCCAAGCTCCTCAAAAGCCAAATTCCAATTCCATCTGGAACTCACGGGTACGTTTAAACGTGGTTCTTAAGAAGCGCTTCGTGGACAAGTAATTACAACTACATTTTTTTAAAAACAAAATTACAAATCAGTTGATCCAAACAGCCAACTTCGTTCCCAGAGCTCTCTCCTACTCGTCCTTACGGAGCGAGAGAGGGAGAGAGACTGGTAGGAGAGAGAACCTAGGAACGAGGTTGCCAAACAGCAGGCTTGAAAGAAGGAAAGTATTCGCGTCACATAGTTTCTTGTTTAAACACATAACCAACATGACGGGGAGATTCCCAAAAACGCTGCAAATGAGAATTACGAAAAAACGCCGTTTAAAACTGAAGAAAGGAGAATTTTATAAATTGTACTCACTCACTGAATTCTCATTGGCATACAGACAGGTTTAATATTTAAAAATTAGCATAACTTTAGGCCCCATCCACACGTAGCCGGATGTTAATTGAAAACAGATATTTTTTTCTCTGTTTCTAGGAAATACAAGTCCACACGTAGCGTATTCGAATCGTTTTCGCCCCTCCACACGACAACAAATACGCTAATATGCCTTACAGAGCATGCGTAGTGCTAGTAGTGTATGATATATGTTAAATGTTTGGTGCCCGAAAATGCCGTTTACGTGTGAATCGAACAGAAGGCTAACACGTCGGACAAAACAATTTTAAAAATACCCGGATACATTCGGACGAGGCCTCAGTTACAAAAAATTGATTTAGGGCTGCGTGCGCAATGCATGATTTCCAAAAGCAATGTCAAGGTATACGTATTGATGAACAAGCCTTGATTAATCCGGGTATCACAAAAACCTAAGTAAGGGTACTGGTCTTCTTCAAAATTTAGAAGTCACTTATGTCCAACATAATAAGTTCATTGGTGCCGTTACCTAGGTTTTACATCACAAATCAAACAATTTTTTTTGCTTCGTGAACTTACGAAAGTTTTAATTAAAATCTTGTTTTCACTGAGCTCTTTTAACATTGACCTATAGTCATTGGGAAAATGCACCCTATGGCTTAGTCCATTTTATGACGAAGACAAGCCTTAAAACCTATAATGAAGTCAACTAGGAGTTTTCGAAATATCATAAAATCAGCAAATTTTTCTCTCTTAAAAAAGAGCAAAACTCAGTGCGGAGTTGGTAGTACTGAAACTTGGTAGCCTTTCACTTACAATTCCAAGTCAAGATACCACAGAATGGCAGTATTTTCAGAAGGTATATTTTACGATGATGTAAATAACTATTTATAACTGAAAACTGGCAAAAGCTGAGGGTATAAAAAGACATAGAGGGCAACGTTGTTTCCTTTCAGATATTTTATTAGTTCTTGTGTTATTTAATTTCTTTAGGAGCTTGTAACATTTCAGGAAGGTTGAATTTTATTTTTTAAATTAATTCCCTCACTCTTCGAACGTCAACAGGAAAATTATTTGCGCTTGGCTCCCCTTCAGTTGTACTACACTCAACCAGAAATTTAGTTAGTTCAAAATCATACATGAAGGAAGTATTAATTAATAGTCAAGAAATGAATGTTTAATGAGTAACCCAGTGAAATCTAACTAAACGAGGTTGAATTTACTTCGCTGTGGGGATGAAAATAAATTTTCAATTAAAAAAAAAAATGCGAGCAAAGTAATATCATATCTTTTAATATTTAAAACAACCTGATATGATCAGATTTATGCGCATATTTCAAATAAATGAACAGGACTTCTTGAAAAAAAGAGTATTTTTTCGTTAAATTTTAAGTTGAGCCATTGATTTTAAGACTCTTAAAGAATAAAATTTCAGGTCATTGGCCTCTGCACAATGGCTACGGCTTCCAAGCTGAGACAATAAAATTTGTTTTTCAAACTTTCAATTGAAAAATGTTTAATATGTATATTAGTTTGTGAAGCAGCATCTCGGAAAGTTGAGCAAAAATAAATACTGACATAAATAAACAACTACATTTTAACCACGGGGGCTGGCTGTTACTTTAACTGTTTGGTTCAGAAAGGTCCTTTCCACCATCCATTTTTAACGGCAAATCAACCTAAGAAATCGTCAATAAACTTGTATGTAAACATCTTGATAACCTTAGTCATCAGCTGTCAATACTTTTAATTAGGGATCGCCCGCCTCTTCTAATTTTGCCTTCAGCATCAAACCAAAAGGATGGCCTATATAATGGTACATGCTACTAATAAAAATGGAAACTGATTGTCATTAAGGTTCATTAAAATGTCTCTAAGGAAAGAAAACGAACAGATACATAGAACATCAAACTGACAAAAAACCCCCAAAACAATAAACATTTAGAAACACCCTTATAGGTGAAGTATAATACACTTCCTCGCCTCTTTTGGGCCGGACATTAGAGAGCTTTAGATTTGAGGACGAGAGCGAGTACCATGCAGGGTCAGCGAAACGTAACTTAAAGTTTTTTTTTTTTTTTCAAAATAATAAAACTTCTTACATTTGATGACTTGTTCCCGCCACTACGACACTCTCGCTAAAACCTGTTGTAGAATGACGAAGGCTATCACGTTACTCATAGTCGTCCTCGAATTTCCTCGAATCTAAAGCTCTCTGTTAATAGAGCTTCTCACCCAAAATGTTCGTTTCCTTTCAGTCCATACTATCAATAAAAAAAACATCAGCGGTTATTTACAAATCAACCAAAAACCTCTTTTCCTTAGTTCTCACTAGTTGATCGTTATAACTGAAACTGGTTCGACAGTTAGCGTTGTCGGGCGCGTTGTCATTTTCCGTCTCATGTGCGTTTGAGAATATCTGTTTGTCGCACGCAAAAAGGCAACGTTTGGTTGACGATTCCTTTTACAGAAACGGCAAGCTAGAATTTTGGTAACTTCTTGGCGGAATTTAGGACAACGAAAAGAGTAAATTACAGGATTCGCAGAGGAACCTAATAATCCAAGGAACATGGTAGATA